CAGATTCAGCATCTCTGGCCAGCTTCAAGCTTGGGTGGGAAGTGAGCCCGGCTTTTCACCAGAGAACAAACTACCCTTATGTAATAACTACTTCAAGTTGGTGCTTAAAACAACATTGTTTGAGCTACATGGCAATGGCGGCCATTTCTGCACTGCAATGTGGTGGTGGCGCGGCAGAGCCAAGCAAAACGAGAACCTAGGGATGCCCGCAGAGCATTCTGCACTCCATCCACTGCGTCGGCACGTGAAGGTTCCATAGCGTCAATTCCGTGCATATAGAGTCAAAGGCTCGATGCTACACAGCAACCTGAACGCACCAGCAGGGGATCGCACCGAACCGCCGAGTATCAGGACTTCAACTCCCGGTGGAAGCAAAAGCCGTACATTTCTGGCTTGCTCATTGCTTGAGTACTCGAATTAAACATGAGCGTGCACGAAACAAAGGCACTCTGGGGTATCCGAGTTGGTGTCGTGCATTTTCCACAAGCTCCGTAGCTGGAAATTGCCCGAATTGCACTTTGGTACTGCAGCGCACGGGCAGAGAAGAATACGTCCATTTTTGCCCACTATGGTAATTTAGCTTTTAAAACATTAAGAAGGAATTGTTGCGTGGATACTTGTCTTTTTTAGGGCCTGAGGAAGCCCGAGAGCGCAAATAGCAAAGACTGGTCCTACTTGAGCCCATGCAAACGCTCAGCCACTGTGCATTTTTCGTTGTGTGCCTGAACCTTCGCGCAGTAGACGTAGTTTCTGATAAGGTTGGAGAATGTTTATTTGCTGTGGTACATTCTCTATGCCTCTTGCCACTACAATTACTTCCTCTGGAGCTGAAGCAGCATCATTGTTGACGTTAGAGAAATACGATTAGGCCAAGGATTTCCTTTCCTTCCGTTTAGACTGTAGCTCTGACAGGTTATGTGAAATTTCCGTGAAATTTTTGCGTTTGTCAAAAGCGTCTCCGTATGAGTGAAACCGGAGAACTCGTCAAGTCACTGTCACTTAATTCGTTATGCTGGGCCTAGATACATCTCAGTTCACCATGAAACCCATAGAAAGTCCTTAAGAAGCGCTTTTGGGGAGCCAGTGAGGTAGAAGAATGCCAGGAGACAAAGTGTCCCATTCAAAGCTCCCTTTTCATTAGGGGCGCCACGGCAACCCCCCGCAGTGCCACACTATGGGCGTACTACAGTAAATAGTACCCACCAAACGCACAAACCAGAGCTCTCCGTTTTCTCACTCAGCTGGATATGCACAATCTTCGAATAAAAGAAACCTGCATTTCTGTGGTTGTTGGAGTCCCGATGCGCAGTAATGGCTGAGCCTGCGCATAAGTCTGGGCTAGGCCGATAAAGGAGTTATCAATGTCTAATTTATACGCGTGGGAATAACCTCCCAACGTTTGTAGCAAACGGCTGGTGGCGTTTAGGACAGCTCGAGGGAGTTTTAAGACAGGTGTTTGACCTCATTGAAACATGACAATGTCTTAGCACGCGGTGCTGCCTTAACTTGGAACTTCCGATTTTTGATACCAAATGAAAAAAAGCATCTTGAAAGTGCATCGGGCGCTTGACATCCAACAGCCACCAACAACTTGCGCATGGAGCTTTCTTGCTATTATTACATGAAGACAGAACTGCATGGGGCCTTGGGCAAATTAGAGTAAAACAGACAAGAATATGTATGAATTGTCTCTGAGAATATGTGAGAAACAACAGAGTGTCCCATGTTCAACAGGTGGTGCCCGAACGAGCTTGCGCCAAGCGAACACAACGTGTAAAATCAATGGACACTTTACCACGAATAAGAAGTTAGTGGGGTAACATGCAGTATTAAGGGTTCAAACGTCGGCCTCCTTATGTGCGCGTTACCCCACTAACTTCTTATTTGTGGAAAAGTGTCCATTGATTTTACACATTGTGTTCGCTTGTTCTTAAACTTATTTCTGTTTCAGCTGTGGCCTATGGCTCCCACTGCAACAACGCACTGTGCTGTGTCCCATCGGAACAGCGCTCCAGATGTTTGCCCTGAACGGTAAGTAAATGACCCTCTGCACCACGCAAATGTTCAGAGTAAAAGCTTCAGCCACCTTTTTTTTCAATACTCGAAGAAGGAATCCCACTTCTAGCACAGCGCCCCAGCAGATGTGGAGGCAGCTGTTCTTCAAATCGCCGCACCGCAATCCCTCCACTGCAGCAAACAACTCCATCGAAACATAGCAGATACTCGAAGTCGACAGCGGTGGAGATGAGAGGAAAGTATGTTGGCATTTCGCTGTGCAGCTTGTCCTTCTTATGGGCTGCAGCTGCATCCCTTGAATCTCCTAGGCAGCCGCCATTTCTCACCAATAACACGGGGACCTTTGAGAGGTCTCTTGGCTTTGGAGAGAGTAACGTGTTGCATGCAGAAAGTGAACTGGACACTGCCAGGACTTCACAAAGTGACGCTAAGTTCATCCCAGGGCAGCTTGAAACAGTAGCAACAGAGGGCGGCAGTTGGTTTAAAGAGGACTCGGATTCCTTGCAAGTTGGTGAACTGCTTGCAGTAGAACCTCGAAATGATGCCAAATCTCGTGGAAGCCTCCTTAAAACAATGAAGAACTTCGTAAACGAACCAAAACTCGTAAAATTGCTGCTTGTCTCCACTAAATTTATTGCCTCATTCTTGTTCACAGACGCGATTTTAAAACCTGCTCACTTTATTATCACGCTGTGGGTGGCTTTGAGAGCACTGCAATTGCTTGAATAGTGCGAGCACTCTAACTGCTTGAGTAGAGCGTTTGCGCAGCTCTACATGAGAGCAGCTAGAAACGTTAAATATGTGTAAAATTGTAAAGTAGTGGAAAAAGTGCGAATGCTTTCTCACAGCGTTTTGATAACATGAAGTGCAATTATGTTGAGCGATGGTGTTGTTGATTCCTACGTACCCCATCACGCTCTGTGTAGATGAAGGCTGCCAGTCACTAGGCGGCGTACTGCAAGTTGGTGGCCTACAGCTGCCGGTTTGCGTGTTTGCACCTTTCTTGGCTGGCTTCGGTAGAGGGTTCCGTCCTGACAGTCGCAGCGCGGCCTGCTGGCGGCGAACTCTCTACGTCTCACCATGTTCCCATCCTCCATTTGCGCCGTTAGCCGCCCGCTCGTCGCGTACGCGACCCGCCTGGTCAACGCGCGCCCGCCATTTGGCTGGCTAATCGAGTCGAACGGCAAAGTCGCAGCACCGGAACGCCTCGGTTTACTCCGGTCGCCATCTGTCTGGCACAGTTGAGCTCCTGAACTGCGAACTAATTTAGCGACGAGTGATGTACACACTTTCATCTGCCTACCCTCAAAAACAAGTGCAGATGCCCAACACGAAACCCTGTAGTGCAGATTAGCTGACTACAGATACGTAAGGAACAGATGGAGCTCTATGCACTCCTCTCTTCGACTCTGTTTCGATTCTGCCAAAAGGACAGGAGCCCGCAGGTCCCCCGTTAACCCTCTCTTTCTCTGGAAGCAAGGCCGCAGTAGCTCCCAGTTCTTTCGTAACGGAATCCAGACTTTTCGGAAGCCCGCACAGGTGACTTCACGCAGCGCCTCTCTTCCGCATGATTTACTTCCTGGCCACCAGAGGTCATTCTGGTGCAGGAGCCGCTGCCTTGCCACAGCATCTTGAAAGGGTTCTCAAGGAGCATAGGTTACATGATTGTTTTGCAAGTCTGTTGGAGGCAGGGCAGTTCCTACCACTTTCACCGAATGTGAGTGTTGCCCTGCACCAGGGGCGCGTCGCAAGCGTATGGCAAGGTTAAAGCCGACAAACGAAACACCAAAGGGATGTACTTCTATTACTTTCGGTGGTCTGAGGCTGTTTCCCCTCACTGGCGTGTATGCAAGGGCGGCGAGTTGATCATCCACTTGTCATGCTCTTACTGGGGGGCGCGGAACAATCAGCATAATCATTGTAGGCACCAGCAGGGCATTAATTATGTCTGCTGGCGTAGTGAGCATGCAAAGAGGAAGAAATGAGCGAATTTGTTGACGCAATTCAGCTCTCCGTTCATATTTTCCCTTCTTTTCTCCAGCCCTGATGCGTCCAGCGACTGCTGCATGCATAGTCCAAGCGATCCATTTCTTGTGATAAAATGATACTTCTGCTCGTCGAATCTTGGCTTTCCATCATTAACTTACATGTATTTACCTCCTGCCTTACTCGGCTTGAGTGGCACGAACGGTGAGTGCTTGTAACAGTGCACCTGCTTTGAACGGCGAGCACGCTCGACGTGCAATTGTCTACGCAGCGACTGTTCCTCTACATTACTCTCTTTGCATTTCCCTAGATTCACTACATATGCTTACATTGCCTGGAAGCAACTGAAACCAGCAACGCGAGGCACTCCGCGACGAGCCGAGACTCGGGGCCAGTTATTTTGTTGATTTCATCATCGGCTCTCCGTTGTATCTGCACTTAATCAGCAGTGATGATTTCCTTGACTTCATTAAGGATCATGAGAAATACCCACGGTTTGTAGGTGACACCCAGCGCCGCGGCCCCCGGCCCGGTCCCAGGCAGTGTGAGGGACCGCTGTGAGTGCCTGACGCGCGCATTTGGTCTCGTGAGACCTGAAGCGATTGTGGGGTCCTACCCACCGAAGATTTCTGCAGCACTGAGCCGACCGTGACCACTCTGTACCTCCCCCAGCTGATGCAGCGGCTGCTGCTGCTGCAGGGTGCGGCAGCAGCAACGGCTGCTGCTGCAGCCGCTGCAGCAGCCTTGCGTGTGTAGACTACGAGCAAGGCTCTTAAAGAAGGAGCCTTTCAGTACGGAATTCTTCTAGCTGTGGCTGCAGCAGCTAGAGCGGACGCTGCTGCTTCTGAACGGTTGCTGCTCGAGCTGCTCCACCCGCACGGCGGCCCATTCAAATGTCCTCAAGCACTGTGGGTGAGCCGGCAGCCACGTGAACTGCACTGCCAGCTGCTTGTGTAGGAGGATTGCACTAGGGAAGTGAGAGTCACGTGTCTGTGCAGATGAAGCTCACACAACAGCATTTGCTGGTGCAGCAGCAGTCCCAGCATCCGCTGCAGCAGCAACAGCAGCAGCAGCAGCAAGCGCAACGTTTTCCCGACAGTTCAGAGGGTCAGATGCAGCAGCCATTATCGCAACTTACTGGTCAGCTGTCCCATATGAATGGAGGTCATCTAGCTTATCCAGTGCAGGGACCCGGGAGGGATGCAGTGCCTATTACAGTTACCGCAGCGACGGCAGCTCCTGCCGGGCCCTCTCAGATGACTCCGAGCTCCACACAACAGCTCCTTGCCCAGCAGCAGCAGCAGCAGTTGATCGCGCAGCGTGGCCTGTTGCAGCACCTGCAGCAGCAGCAGTTGCAAAAGCAGCAGCTCCAGCAGCAACTACCGGTTGACATCATGAAGCCACCACAACTAATGCAGCATCAGCAGCATGTGCGGCAAAGGCGGCTTCAGCTCCAGCAGCTCCAGCAGCAACAACAGCAGCTACAGCAACAACAGTTGCAGTTGCTACGCACCCCGGAGTCTCCTGGGCTGTATAGTGCTTTCTGCCGGCTGCTGCAGCAACTGTCCCTCCACCGGATGTCTTTACGGGACGCTCGGGTACGCGTGTTGCTGGTCGTACTGAGGTGGTTGCAGCAGCAGCAGCAACAGCAAACAGAACCCTCTCGGTTGTTTAGGGACGACCAGTTTGAGCGGCTCGTGAAGCAGACTCGGGCATACATGCGGCTGCTGCTGTTGCAGCAACCCCTAAAGGAGGACGAACTTCTGCAGCTAGGGCTTTCTCCAGCCCTTGGGTTTAAGCCCAATCGTGAGTTTATTGCTGCTGTCGCTGCATCAGCAGAAGTGGGCACAAATTACAAGCCTCCAGCGCCGAAGGAGCAGCACCAGCAACGTCCTCGGAGCCACCAGCTCTTCGTTCAACTGTATGAGCAGCAGCTTCAGCAGCATCAACAGCGTGCGCTAGAAGCTCTGGAACAACAAACCCACAAGTATGAAGAGGTGGCGCGCCTGCGACTCGAGAAAGAAGAGCAACAGCAGCATCAAGAAGAACAGCAACAGCAGCTTCAGGAACAGCGACAGCAGCCAGGCACCTCAAAAGACAACGCGTTACACACGTGTCTAGACGTCGGAGGCAGCTCGGAAGAGCAACGGCACCAGCTGCTTGAGAAGCATATGCGAAAGCAGCAACAAGTGGACACCAAGGAGTCGAAAAGAGAGGATGATGCTGCACTACACAGCAGTAACAACAGCTGTTGTGCAGCAGAGGCAGCTGGTGCAGCACAGGTTGCATCATCTACTGCATTGACAGAGGAAGAAAGCGATGCTGACGGCTTCCTGTCTTCTTCGGATGAGTGGTGGGGCGTGGGCGGCCTGGAATGTCCTGTGGACGACGGAAATAGCGGCAGCATGCAAGAAAGAGCACGCATCAGTCGGCTACAGCGGAGGCTTTTGATTCTAGCGCCATTTCAGAAGCAAATACGGGAAGAGGTGGTGGCCCAAAGAATCACAGAAAGCCCTGCGCAGCTTCCTCCCCTACAGCACCTGCCCGTGAGGCTGGCGAGAAAGCACAGAGCACTGCGCTTGCTGCGTGAACGAGGAGACCGGATGACAGCGGCCCGGCAGCAGCAGCAACAGCAGCGGCAGCAGGTGCTGCAGCAGCTGTTTGACAGTCATAGACGAACCTTCTTGCAGCAGCAGCGGGACGTGCTGCGGCAGTTGAGACGGGTTGCTGCTGCAGTCAAGAGGAAGAAGACAGCAGCAGCGGATGGAGGAGAGGGTGCTGCCAGTTGCGGCCACCCGCTTCATCCCACAGATTGTGGCTGCCCCGGCGCGGCTGCTGTGGCGGCACAGATGAGAAAGGAAAGATTGGACGCTTTGCGGGTCAGTGGCTACATGAACGCTTGGTTATTCGGTTACACTTTTGGAAGGTTTGCGGCGTTGCTTTTTTTTTTTCAACGATAGGCTGCTGTTTGTACTGCTGCTGCCGCTGCAATTCTTCACGGGCCGTCAATCTAGTTCTGTGCCCACTGTTTGGCGCCAGGGGCCGGTTTGCGGTGTTATATTTACTTTTCCTAGTGATGCCTATTTGTACTTTATCTGAAGATACGTTCAGTTGCAAAAGCTGGCGGAGTAGATATCTGATACGGACAAGTCATTGCTTCCTACCCTCTTTGTTTCGTCTTTGCGCAGAAACACGATGAGGCGGGCTACTTGAAGCTGCTTCAGGAGACCAAGAACGAGCGGCTACTACAGCTTGTTCGCCAGACCGAGGGATACATGCAGCAAATAGGCAGCCTTGTTGTGGAGCAGCGGGAGAGAGAAGGCATAAATGTTCCATCAGTGAGACCCACATCTGTTGTCTCATTTTTGCAGCACTGAATGGCGTTTTAAGGGGTTGACTCGCTGTCTGGCTACAGTCCCACAAGTATTGGAGATGTTGCGTTCTCTGCTGCCGCCGGGATATTTGTGTCGCGCAGACAGAGGAGGAAACAGATGGAGCTGCTGAAGAGGCATCTGGCTCCCTGTCGTCTTCATTTCTTTTTTCCAAGGAAAGATATTACCGCATAACGCATAGTCAGCGGGTACTGTGTTCACTATTTAAACTTTGTATGGCGATACGAATACCTCAGCACCTATTTGGGTATTTAATGGGGAGTCGCGGATAGACTTGCTTACTGTCAGCCATATTGAAGCTATTGCTGCTCGCAGTATCGGTGCCCGTGTTGCTTCCAGTGGAGGTCTTGGTGGCGCTTGGGCGCTCATATTTCTCAGTCGCTTGCTGCTTGTTCGTTTGTTTTCCAACAAACAGGAGAAGGTGACGGAGTTGCCGTCCTGTCTCAAAGGGGGGACACTCCGGCCGTACCAGATGGAGGGGCTGAATTGGCTCGTTTCACTGCATAACAATGGTCTCAACGGGATTCTGGTGCGTCTACTTTCTGCCGTTGTTGCTATTGCTCTCGCAGGCCTGCTCATGTGTTTCCATAAACTACCGTTAGCGTTGTTGCTAAATTGTGCAACAATGAGTCGTAGCTACATCGCCATCCTCCGTGAGTTCTTTGCTCGTTCCTGTTTTGTTCTCTGTTGCTGCAATCACTGCTGGTGTCTCGTGTCAGGCAGACTGCATGGGCCTGGGCAAGACGGTACAAACGGTCTCTTTCTTGGCATATTTGTACGAGAAGAAAGGAGTGCGCAACCCTCACCTTATTCTCGCCCCTCTCTCGACGCTACACGGCAACTGGAGGCTTGAGTTCAAGAAGTGGTGGCCCTCTCTGCGCATTGTTGTTTACGAAGGAGCCAAAGATGTAATGCAACACTCAGGATATTATGCATGGTTTCCCCCTTGTATTTGGGCAACACTTGTGTATTATCTTTTGCGCTGCCTAGAGTTTTGCTTGCTACTGATGATCCATGTCTCAGGTGTGTATGAGTCTAATCCTGGTTTGCTTTTACAGTGTCATCTCGTGCCTGCATTGGAATACTTTCGCCCAGTTTCGTATGCCCACGTTTTTTGGTTTTTCTTGGCTTGCTGCGTGAGTCAAGATTTATCTTTTTTTTTGAATGTTGCGCTGTTTTTCTCTTTGCTCTTACTCTGGTTGGCAGCACGCTTTGGTTTGTGTATGCGCCTCTGTATTTGCATTCAGGTACGCAAAGCGCTGCGCAGTCGCATCGTTTCGGGTGTGCGTGTAGAGGGGAGCGGCCAGGAGACACAGCGCTTTCTGGAACCCCTATTTGATGTCTTGCTGACTACAGACGCTTTTGTTCTGCGAGACAAGAGTTTCCTTAAAAAAATACAGTGGGAGTATTTAATTGTTGACGAGGCTCACAGGCAAGTCGCAAACACAGACGTACAAACGAAGCCAACGCACTAAACTCGAGACAAGCAACATGCCTTCACCCGTCAAAGCAGATGCCGCTCAGCGTGTTTGACCACAGAAGCTGTGCAAACTTCAAGCGCTGATGACATTTAATTGAGGTCTCGTGAGGCGTCGAGCCTTGCAAGTGTATTGCTAATTACAGGCCTCACGGTTTCGAAGAGAAGTGACTTTAGAACCAAACACTTTCACCTCTGAGTAGACGCTGAAGCTTCGACATTCAAAGACGCAACCTATGTAGATCATACTGCTAGCTCAGTTGAGGGCGCCCTGCCGTCGTGCCGTCGCTTTTGCAGTTTTTGGTCGTGTTTTTACCGTACTTAAAAAAAGTGGAGCAGGGGGCATCGCATCCTGCAGGCAGCAAGTGCACCGAAAGTTTATATCACAGGTTACAGCTGGCTTCGCAACAAGAATTGTTACGTGTTATTTTCAGCATTCGCCTTCGTTGCCTTGCACTCTACTGGTTATTTCAAAGTTCAGAAACTGATGCATTTGCGCGACAACCCAAGGGGGTTGTTGCTGTATTCGTGCCTTTCTTCAGGCTAAAGAATCCCAACAGCAAGTTGGTGCAAACCCTCAACTCTGGCTTCTCTATACGCAGGCGTATTGCTCTCACGGGTATGTTGCTGCTGCCAAGGGCCCAAGCGGTTCTTTTGGGTGTTCCACTTTTGTGGGCAGGCGACCTGCTTGGGGTACATACTTCTTGTGTACGTCCGCCTGCTTCCACACGTCGCAGGTACTCCTCTGCAGAACGACATCGTGGAGGTCTGGGCGCTTTTGAATTTTTTGATGCCGTCGATTTTCAACGCCAAGTTGAATTTTGAACAGTGGCTAAATGTTCCCCTTGGTGCCGCGCCGCTCGGGGGCCCTGCGGGGGCTGGTGGGGACGACCAGCCGCACGCCATAACTGTGACTGAGGAAGAGAAGCTGCTTATCATAGATAGATTGCATAAGGCAAGATACATACACTCGTGGGAACAAGTGGACCGGGCTACGCATGGCCAGTGCGCTGGCCTTCAACACTCGCAGTGGCCGAGTCTGTGTTGTTCTCACTTGTTTTGTTGTGTAGCGCGTCGTACATGCTGCCAGTAATCATCACATTCCTGGAGCTTGGCACAGCACTGTGCTGTGGCATTACTTTACGGGGTAGTACTAAGGGTGCATTGAAAATCCACTGTCTATGAAGCTGTTCAGTTATTTACAGTTTTCACGAAATGCTTCACATATGTATTGCTTATATCACTGTGAACTACATGTGCACTGACCATTTGGCTTTTTGGCCTTAACTCACCGTTTTATTAGGTTGCGCTGCTCTCTAGATCTTCTCTGACAGTATGGGAAGAACTCTGGAGCATGGAAGGTCGTAGGGGTGCATATTCTCTCTCTGCAGGTCTTGCGGCCGTTTCTGCTGCGGCGCGAAAAGGCGGAAGTGGCAAACGAACTTCCCTCAAAGCAAGAAGAGATTGTGTGGTGCCCTCTGTCGGGCATTCAGAGAATTCTTTACCGCATTGTCCGTGCTTTCACCCTTCCTTTGTAGTGAAAATTCACCTTCCGGGCCAAGTGTTTGCTGTTCAAGTTCGAAGTTTTAGAGTCTACAGTCTAGGCCAAGGTTGTTAGATTTAAAGACTAGAATTATTCATCTGCAGTTCAGGGTTAAACTGAAGATTTTAGATGCAAAATAATTGTGTGGTTCGTGTCAGATAGAGGAGAGTCCAATGGGCCACAATCGCATGGTGCAACTCCGCAAAGTTTGCAATCATCCGTTTCTTTTCTGTTTTAGCTCGTTTACTCGTAAGCATACCTGTGAGAGCGAGTCATCTGCATTCTGCCCGCGTATTCCCCTCCCAGCGCACAACAACTTTGCATTTTCTGTTCCTGTTTCTGTCGCTGCAGTTGCAGTTAGGAAGGTAGACAGCAACCCCGGCAGCTTTATGTGGTTGTATCGGCGCGTTGTATGCTTTGTTTTGTATGTCTGTGTGTGCCAAGCTGATGAGAGTCTGGTGCGGTGCTGCGGGAAGTTCGCCATGCTGGACGTATTACTGCCAGCGCTAAAGGCGGCACAGCACCGGGTGTTGGTCTTCAGTCAAATGACGAAGCTGTTGGACCTTCTCGAGGTCAGATTTTTTTCATTCTTATTAATTGCCATGTGCTTTTGGGCATTGCTGTTGGTCCTAATTTTTTTTTTATCGTGCTCATCGTCTCCAAGTTTCTGACTTCTTTCTTTCGCTTTTTGGTCTGGCTCCCTTGTACCTTGGTTGTTTCTTTGCTTGTACTTCGTTAGATCAATTTTACACTATTTTGTAAATTTACAGCACTGTGGTATGCTTGCTAGTGCGACGCCTTTGCAGTGCGACGCCTTTGCAGTGTTTTATTCATGCTAAGTTGTGTTCTGTTTAGAGCTTCACTGCACCACGTTTGAGTTACTCTGCCCTGTTGCATGACGTCCACGTCGTATCACACTCTGGCGTTTTGTTTCATACATCTTATGCGCCGGTACACTACTCCTCGGTGTACTTGTATTTGTACGCATATGCATTGTCGCATGTACAGGCCTACTTGTCCTTGCGGGGCTACCGCTATCTGCGGCTAGATGGCGGGACGTCCAGCGAGGAACGTCAGACACGCTTGGCTCTGTACAATCAGGAGAATTCGCCCTATTTTCTTTTTATATTGTCCACAAAGGCAGGAGGTTTGGCTCCCACCGTAACTTTTAAAGCTTTAATTTCAAGTTTGAAGCCCCAAGCTTAAAATCTGAGGCTTTAGGCTGCCCAAAATGGCGGAAACAGCTACATAGCGCGGGTCTTCCATGCTTGTACAAATTATATTGTAGAGTTAAGGATCCATGCGTGAGGCTTGCTCGATACGACAGGACTGGGAGTTAATCTTCAATCGGCAGACACTGTAATCATCTTTGATTCCGATTGGAACCCGCAAAACGACGAACAAGCTCAGTCGAGGTGCGGTGCTGATACGATTTCTTTTCTGACTGCTGCTGCTGCCGTTGTTGTCGCTTGCAGTACTGCTGTTGTTAGCGCGAATCATGCTCTTTGTTACGCTGCAGTTTTCCACGTTTCCGTTGTTGCCGGTTCATTTTTATTGTTGCTACAGCCATATGCTGTTTACGAGGCGAATGGATGCCTGCGGCGCATACGTAGATTCATTGATTTTGCTGTGCACTGTCTGTTGTCCCGTCGGTGTCAAATTCGTCCATGCTCACTGTGACGACATTGCTATTGGGCCGTGTCCGAATAGGCGTCTTTGTTCTCCAAAAGACGCCTTCTATTCGACATTTTTTTAACAGTGTTGCGTAGTTGCTGTGGCTTTGCAATTCCCATGCAATGTTGAATCTGTGTACCTGTGTATGTACTGGTCCACAACGGGGGCAGAGTAGCTTGTAAGACTATAATGGTTATTCATTTGGTTTAACGTGACGCCGCATGCGTCGTGTCTCTTTGTACAGGGCGCACCGCATAGGGCAGAAGCGCGAGGTCTTGACTATTCGTTTCGTGACGCCTTCCTCTGTAGAGGAGCAAATTCTTCATTCTGCGGAGCTGAAGCTGGACAAGGATGCTCTTGTCATTAAAAGCGGAATGTACAACGGAGAACTACAAGATAGGGAGACAGAGAGACAGGAACAGTCCGTTTTTTATCGTGTTACTGGCGCACACAGTTGTCGTGTTTGCATCTCGGTGCTAGTCGTCTCCCTTACTGATTTCCTCTCGCGTATGTTCAGTCCTGGGCCTGCGTTTTTCTACCTTGTTCTCTGGTGTTTGCTGTCTTTATTTTCACCTTCTGTTCTTTGGAGGACGACCCTCAGCTTACAGGGTGAATGTTTTTGGCGGACTCTTCATGAAAAGAAGCGGAGCTGGCTCTGCGTCTTTGTTGCAGAGTCCGGGAAATCCTTCGACGCCGCAAACAACTGGAGGCCAACCTCACCCGGCCGTTCGATTTTGCAATTCTGAAGAACCAACTTTCCAGAAACCCCGCGGAGTCTCGCGTCTTTGATGCGCTTCAGAAAATTCGACAGGTTTGGCAACGGAGACTAAGGCCCCGCGAAACTAGTACCAGTAGCAACAGTTGCACGGTAACAGCATCAAGTTAATACCACGGGCAGTTTGGCTGTTGCCCGCCTTCTCACATTTTCCATGTTATAGCGAAAAGAAATTCACAATTTCACGTTGGGGAGGAATTGTCTTCCTTTTGCTCCCTTCCAACATGCCCATGCAGCTGCTGCATATACCTGGACTCATCTACGGCGAGGCGGTGCCACCGTGCCTCTTTCGGTGGTCGAAGACAGTTGAACGTTCCCAGGTACCTCCCTCGGTGAAACGTGCTGTGTCAATGTTTCGTAACAGAAGAGGCAGAAACAGTAGGAATTGGAGTCATTGGAAGGACAGAAACAGAGGGGATTGGAGCAGCCCCACGACCAGTAGAAGTGGACATTATAGACAGCATTATTTCGCAGTTGCTGCATGGTTTGCTTAGCAGATACTGGGCGCTTTAAGGCAAATAGTGCAGTTTGTATAACTTCAAGTGCAACGCCGTGAAGCTGTTCGCCCTGATTTTCACTGTGCATTGTTGTTTTCTGTCGTTTCGACTCTCTTCAATATGTGTCATTCCTCGTTCTGTCGATTCGTTCGCACTTGGTATTTCTTTCTCATGCACGCAGAAAGTTTCATTATCTAATGTTGGAATGCCTGCTATTCCTTTTCCCTTCATTGCTCCTTCTGAGGAACCACCTCTTCGTATCTTGCTGTACATACGGCTGCATAATGCTTGACCTGTTGTCGAGTACGTCTGCTTGTTTCTGCGCTCTGTACACAGAACGCCAAGTCATGCAGTATTTCCTGGACATGCCGACGTTTTATTTTTCACGTGTCTTTTCTTTTCTGCCTCGTTATCTACAGACTGACCTCGTTGAGAATACAGCACAGGCGGCTCAAGACTGGAAGATTGGCTATGCCCTTTCAGATTTCTGGACGACCCAGCGCAAGAAGAAACAACCGCCTGCTGCCACAATGAGTCTGCAGCTCGTCGGGGGAAGCGTCTCCCCGTTGCTCCCACAGCCCATTGCATCTGCAGCACTAGCCTCATTACCATCAGCAGCTTCAGCGCCAGCTGGTCCTCCTGCCGCTACAGCGGATCCCGCACAGCAAGAGGGATGCGCTAGTTTGGCACTGCAGCAGTCACAGCTGCAGCTGGAGGCCCACCCTCAGAGCCACATGCAAGTGCAGCAGCAGTGCCAGCAGCAGCAGGAGCGGCAGCAAGAGCAATTGAAGCAGGTGTTGCATGCTCCGGAAGTACCATCTGCATTCTTGACCGCATCTGCTGACGGAAACGTTACGCATGCAGTAGATGATGCGCCTGCAGCAGCGGCTTCCGCATCAGGAACCCAAGGGGAATCCATAACAGGAAACTTAGAAAAACCGCTTCTGGCAGTGGCAACTGGCACAGTGCAGGTAGCTGGACCGTCACTTGGAGGTACTTCTGAGCCTGCTACAGTTGCTGGTGGAGCAGAGGTGGGCATGACGAGATCAGACAGTAAGCAGAGGTCTTTCGGTGCTGAGCATGCAGATCAATCCTCTGTTCGTTCTGCTGCTCCTGGCGGAGGTGAAGTTACTCCGGAAGCATCTGTTTTGGCTGGAGGCACAACAGCAGAGCCCTCAGAGGTGACTGAAGCTGGGCTTGGGTCGATTGAGGCAGCATGCACAACTGCAGCGGTAGAAGGAGTGGCTTCCAATCCGGAAACATCGGATGGAGCTGCAGCAGCATCGACAGGAGCTGTTCTGGACAGGCTCTCCTCTTGTGGAACAAGCCCGCTGACAGGCAGCGCAGCACCGTCAGTTGTGGCTAACTTCAACACAAAACATCCTTCAGCCGGCGCCGCAACAACAGCAGCAAAAGCAGAATCAACCGTTGCGGCTGATGCTGTTGTTGTTGCAAATGCTGGCGGCCGAGATAGCAGTAGCGTCGCTGGAGGCCCTGGTGTGCGCGGAATTCCCGGAGGTAGCAGCGGCTGTGTCGATCTTTGGGGCTGCGGGGAGGGGCAGGAGGGAGACAGCGCTGGGGCTGCTGCTGCATGCTTGGCAGACCCTCAGAGATGGCGCGCGCTTTTGAATGGGGCCATATCTCAGGCCTTAACGGAAGCCATACAGGAGTCGCGATTTTCCGCCTTTGTTGAGCTGCCCAGCCCAACGGTCTACAAGGATTACTACGAGGTGATGGGAATATATAAATGCTGTAATCATTCATGTGGTGTGTAGGTAAAATAGCAGCAACTGAATTGCCGAAGTTGCAGATCCTTTTTCACTGCGTGTCACAGTTGCACGTTATCCATGCTGCTTCAGCTTGTGCTGTGCTTCCGGAGGACCTATTTTGCTCCTGTTTGTTTCCGCAGTGTGTTTCTCCAGCACTGTTTTTTCTTGTGTGGATATGTGTTACGTGTATTGACTTCTGCGTAGTTGTGTTTCTCACGATGTAACTGTGAGTGTACCTTTGTGAGTTGATTGCTCTGCTTTGCTGCTCTCGGTTGTTACTCCCGTTCTTGTTCGCATGTTGATCTTAGGTTGCGTCTTATGACTTTTACGTGCTTCTTCCCCCTGCTGCCTACCCTTTCTTCATGCTTGTTGCTTTTGCGAATTTCGGGTTGTTTTTTTCGAGTTTATCCATAAGTTGTTTAGTATCTTTCCTGATTGCAAATGCAGCGTGTAGCCAAACCCGTATGCCTTCTACAAATCCGGAGGTTCGCTGACAAGCACGAATTTACTTCGCTTAAGTGAGCCACCACCTTCTGCACTAGTGCAGCATTTCCTGTTGCTGCTGTAGCCCTACGGCGAAAAGCAGGAGCAGAAGCGGATGCCGCTGATTTAGTAGTGGCAGTGAATTAGAACAGCCAGGACAGCGGTAATAGATGATGATGACACAAGTAGTTGATGATCTGAAGATCTGGTCTTGTGGCTTTTGTTTTCGACAGCAAAGTAGAAAAGTATTTAACTAGGCTGACTGAGAACGCGAGAGCATATAATGGACAGGAGAGTCCGATCTTTCTTCGGGTACGTCTGCCCATTAACAGCATATCAGGAGCAGCTGCTCCCTCTCCCCTCTGGAGCCGCTTCAGGTGCCTTGAAAAGCCTCAGTAGTTACTTTTGTTGCTGATTCGCGTCTATTTGCATCGGCAACTGCTGCGGGCGTGTTTGCGGCTTTTGGT